TTTGTATGATGCACCGAGCCCAGTGTATACATGACAAATGAATGATGCACGCATGCAAAGCATAAGTATGCTAATTGAAACATGCCCTAATCTAACCACAAAAAGGCGGATAAGTAAAAGGGAGAAAGACGTGGGGTTGGAAGACATTCACACACGCACACATACTTATTACAACCTTTGCCCTCTCGACGGAGGGTCCGAATAAAATGAAAGCTAACTAGCTACGCTAATTAGGCTAACTATTACAAATCAACTAATTAACTAACTTAGCTAACTAATTATTACAAAACAAATTGAATCAACTAACTATTCTAAGTTAATTAAGTACAAACCAAATTAATTAATTAAACACTTAACTAATTAATTACAAAAGTAACTAAGCTAATAAACTAGTTTAGCTAAGAAAATTAAACAAATGGCCTTGGGAAGCGAAGGGGAATGTATGCATGGTCGGCTTAGCTCGGAAATCCACCACCGTGCCTCAAGATGCCTCTGTTTGCACACTTCTGTACTTCTGAAAATTATGCCAACTTCCAGAATGCTTCTGACCCACCTTAGAAACATGCTGAGGGATGGTCGGCCAAGAGGGATGGCCATCGGCCAAAGTTGATGGCCATCGGCCACTTCTGATAGTCGATCGGCAGCCTTGGTGGCCGGTCAGCCACTGCTTCCTGCAATTTCTCATTTTGGATGCAGCAGAGTACAAACAGAGGCATGGCAGTGTATTTGCAAGGAAATGTGTGTGCAAGCACACTTCTTATCATGTCTCAAGCTCAAAGGAGTGTAGTGCTCGACTCTCGAGCCACCAATCACGTATCTCAATGCATGATGGCCAAAAAGTCAAGCTTGCACAATGTTGATGAATGCACAAGTAACACACAAGACTCGAGAGGCCTCCACCCTATCATGTACAATCAAGGGGGACGGCGACAAAGAAATGAGGCACGTTTCATCACTTCAAGTATGAAACGCCCCTCATTTCTCGTGTTTGGATCAACATCTGATCCAAACACTATAAAATGCACACACATGCCAACAACATGCTATGCAAATAACATGCTAATCTTGACATGTTAAGGTGGTATGCATAAGGCTCTAACATGCAAACACTCATGCACAACATACTAGAACACTTAGGAATTAAACACTAGTGAAGGATACAACACTAGAACCATGCAACACAATGCTCAATGGACTAAACCAACACCAAATAGACCTCATGCATGCCAAAACAGTGGCCAAAATGATCTGAAATGATAGCATGAATGGCAAGAGAATGATGCTCATGCAATGGCTCACAAACAAGGCATAAAGGTGTAACTCTCAAGAGCACCTCAAGAGTGAAAAACATGGAAGTGTGGCAACACTATATGCTCTAAAATAACATGCCAAATGATGCCAAAACATGCAAATACCTCAAGTCAAGCATGCAAGATACCTCAAAACTCAAAGCTATTGAGCAAGATTGCACTATGGATATACTAAGCAAGGCATGACCAAAACCACTTAAAATAGAGCTTAAGCATGGCAAAACATGAGTAAAAACTTGCTGGAGCAGAGCCAAAACATGCTAAAGTGATAGGCCAAAACACCAAGTGAGCTAGGCTAGCATGCAAGATTGCACTACAAGTATGTGAAGCATGTAAAAGGTGACCTTATCAACCAAAATTAGAGCTAAGGCATGCCAAAATAACACCAAAAATGGGCTGAGACTAAGCCAACACATGCTAGAATAAAAAGTTAACTCATTAGGCATGCAAGGCTAGCAAAGAGGATTTACACTACAAGTGTAAGGAGCATGCAACAAGTGATCAAACCAACTAAAAACAGAGTTAAGGAAGGTCTGAAAAGTCACAAAAATGAGCCTACACAAAGCCACAAAGAAGTAGAAACACATGCTCTTTTGATGGTCCATCAACACAAGCAAACAAGAGAAGAGGATGTGGGACAACCCCCACCCATTTGGGACTTCAAAACCACATCTCTACCACTGAAATTCCTCTGAGTTTCAGTGGTAAGAAATCCAAAAAGAGGTGGTCCCAATAGCTTTAAAAGATAGCAAGAAGTTAAGCAAATACGGCACAAGAGAGTGAGAGGCACCCCTAACTCAAACAAGGCCTCAAACAACATTCCTTAACACTTAAAAATAGAAATTTTTGTAGTTGAAAGCTAAGCCAAAAGAAGCATGCAAAGATGGCTAAGTAAGCAACTAAAACAAAGCTTTAAAGAGTATCAAGACTCACCCTTGAAGAACAACTTCAAAACAATAACTTCTGAGGCAAAAACCAAGCTTTTGACCTTCAAACAAACCTCCAAGTACCTTAGCTCAAGAGTGAAGTTGTTTCACTAGGGCTTTAGTGCAAAAGTGTGAAGAAAAACCACTTTAAGGCACAAACTAGTGCAAATATAGAGAGAGAGGGATATGTATATCCCTAATCAAATTTTGGAACCTCTAAAAGGGAGAGAAAGTTTCCCCTCTTATAGAAATCCAAGTCTCATGCTTGTTGAACAAGCTAGAAGCTTGGTGCAATCCCTCCATACGTGTATGGAGGATGCATTCTGTGCTTACCAGCTGGCACAGCTGGTAACAAAATATTTGCAAAAGCAAAGAAAAGGGCCTCGGCCAAAAGAAATGGCTAACCGGCCAATAAAAGGTCTAACCGGCCCTCAGTGATGCCGACTGGCCACCACTGATGGCCGATGGAAAGAGAGCACGGCCGATGGGCATAAGGCCTGGCCGATGGGCATAAGGCCTGGCCGATGGGTTGTAGGGCTGGCCAGCAGGCCACCCCTTTCCCTCAGAAACAAAGCCACAAGCTCTTGGTCCATAACCAAGCACAAAACAGACAAGTTGAGAGGCTCCAAGGCAAGGCGCACAGCCGAGACCTTCAGAAACTCAAAACGAACACGAGCATGGATGATCATCGAGTGTTCAAACGATGACATCCAAGTCTTGAGGACGGTCAAAAAAGGGGTGTCTACACAAACCCTATTGATCCCATTCATTCTGACTATTCATCTGTTAGTGAGGAAGATTTTGCTCCTGAAACTCTAGGAGAAGAGCGTGGAGTAAGAGAGCCACTTGAAGTTGAGCCACTCCAATGAAAGTTGGATATAAGAATTCTTCTCAATCCACTAAGTTTTCTCTAGTTCAGCAAACCATGACTTCCAGTATCCCAGTTACAGAGGGAGGTGAAGATATAGTGGCTGCTCCTAATGCGGGCCCCCAAGCTTGTCCTAACCTGCAAAAGCTGCTACCAACTTGGCAACTCCTGGTGCTACTGTTGCCTCAGCAACTTCTGAGTAACTTGCTGATCTTTATGCCACTCACTTTCCTAAGGTGCTAGCTAATCTTGGGGAATCAGAAGACTTTTATATGGGCATGGACACCACCGTTGTGCCAAATTTGAATGTTAGGGACTACTACGTGGATGATCTTTTTTTGGAGGGACAGGGTGGTGCAGGTAGTTTTGGCCTATCCCGCAAGATAAGTTCACCTGGCCACTTCCCACCATCTACGCACTCCAATGCTGCTTGGCAGTCATCTGTAGGGGAGGTGCGTCGCCCTCAGACTTTTGTTCGCTCTATAAGTCTTCCTCCCATAATTCAAGCTAGTAATGGTACAAGAGAGTCCTCACATCCTTTAGCGAGAGTTTCTTTTCTAAGCTATTGGGTCTTCCCTGAAGTTGCTCCCATCATTGTCCGCATCCTGGCATTGCACCCTAGTACCTTTACTGCTTTCAATGTTCTAGGCCTGATGGTGTAGATATCGTTGTTTGAGTCTTTTGCCAATTTCATTCGCAACCTCGCAACGAAGAAGGTTCTGACAACTTCTGGCAAGTTTGTAGAGAGTGCTGAGGCAAATCTCAGTGGTTTTGAAAGGAATGGTTTGGACTTGTCATGGATGAGGGCTAGGCTCCAAGAAGTTGATGGTTTTCTTGAGCACGTGTATAATGTGGTCATGATTGCCTCCTTAAAAGAGACCATCAGAGACTATGAGGGTGCTTTAGAGCAGCACCATTAGAACCTAGCTCAGACTCCCTATCTGCCTAGCTGCGTCAAGATGTGACTTTGACGGACTCCCTGATCAAGGGTTTAATCTGATGTATTATGACCTTGTTATGGTTTTTTCCTTTTTCCTTTTTTATTTTTTTTTATTTATTTATTTTTTTTTTTTTTTTGCACTCTTGCTATCTTTTTCTTTTTTCTCTTTTCCTTTGAACATTGTAATCATGCTTCGGGAAACTTGAATTTCTATGAGAAGTAAAGATATTGAGTAGTTGAATTTCACTTCATTTCCTTCCTTTCATTGTTTTTACATAACTTCTCCAGACAATTAGTACTTTTGTCTTGAACAGAACTTCACTGTAACTAAGTGTTTGCAAGAGTAACAAGTTTACTAAGTGTATGACACTTTCTTTGCACTTTGTTTTGAAAATATTAACAAGAGAAACTTACAACTCTTTTCTTAACAAAAAAAATGAAGGAAAATATTCATTTACATACTTAGCGTTGATAGAGCCAGTTCTGAACCCGTCATCTACTCTTGTCAACTTGTAATACTCACTGTTGTTTGCCTCAACAACTTTGTAAGGGCCTTCCCATCTTGGTGAGAACTTAGGGGTTGGTTGGCCCCACATAATTACATCCACCATCTTCCATACCAAGTCCCTCTCTTTGAACTCCCTATGTTGAACAGACTGATTGTAGGCGCGGGCTATGGACTGATGATACTTTTCCATTGCCCGCGAGGCCCTATCTCTTCTTTCTTCAACTGCCTCTATGTTGTTTCTTCTCTAGTCTGGGATTAGGTGTGCCGAAATAGCCATTCTTGCTAAGGGTATTGCCAACTCAATTGGTAACACAATTTCAGACCCGTACACCAGGGAAAATGGGGTGGCCTAGGTTGGCTTCTTCTTCAACGTTCTCTATGCCCAAAGTGCTATGGGGAGTTATTCAAACCATGTGCCCCTTGTTTCATCCATCACTTTACTCAGTATTCAGATGAAGGTTTGGTTGGTTGCCTCAATTTGTCGATTCCCTTGAAGATAGTATGGAGTAGACTTGTGGTGCTTGATTTGGTAGGTATCCAGCAATCTTCCCACACGGCGATTTACGAAGGGACTTCCATTATCGGACAACATCACTTTGGGTATGCCAAACCTATAGATGATGTTTTCCTTGATGAAGTTGGCCACTCCTATTCTGTCTTCTTTCCTCATTGGTATGGCCTCTACCCACTTGGTGCTAACTTCAGTTCCTACAAGTATCCATCTGTGGCTTTTGGATTGCTGCGTTATAGGACCTACCAAATCAAATGCCCAAGAATGAAACGGGTAAGGGGTCTTGATGTTACGCAGCTCAACCGCCGGTGCATGTATCAAGTTCTCAAATTTTGACAAGACTGGCATCTTCTTACAAAGTTCTTAGTGTCCTCCTCCATTGTTGGCCAGTAGTAGTTGAGGTGTGTAAGGTGTCCGTATAGTCCCTAAACCCTTATAAGAAGCATCACTAAAAATAGTAAATCCATCCGTACTAGAGGGTAAGGTGAGAATCAGTGCAGTCACTGGTTGAGTCTTTAATTCTTGAAAGGCTGATTTTCTCTGGTCGGTCCAGTCAAATGGTACTCCATTTTGGGTTAACTGAGTTAAAGGCAAAGTAATTTTGAAAAAATCTTTCACGAATCTTCGATAGTACTAGGCCAAACCTAAGAAACTCCAGACTTCAATAACATTAGTCGGTCTAGGCCAATTCACCACTGCTTTAATTTTCTGTGGGTCAATTGAAATGTCATCTTTATTAATCACAAGGCCCAAAAACATAACACTATCAAGCCAGAAGTCACATTTTTTCAATTTTGCTGTTTGCAAGGCAATTCTCAAATGGTGTTCATGTTCCTCTTTACTTTTGGAATAAATCAAGATATCATCTATAAAAACAACCACAAATTCATCGAGAAATGGTTTCAAAATTCTATTCATAAGATCCATAAATGCAGCAGGCGCATTAGTAATTCCGAAAGGCATAACAAGAAATTCATAATGTCCATACCTTGTTCGAAAAACAGTCTTTTCAATGTCCTCAACCTTGACTTTCAATTGGTGGTATCTGAATCTAAGGTCAATTTTGGAAAAGACTTGAGCACCTTGCAGCTGGTTAAATAAATCATCAATGCGAGGCAACGAGTACTTGTTTTTCATTGTCACCTTGTTTAGTTCACGGTAGTCAATACAAAGTCTCAATGAGCCATCCTTCTTTTTCACAAATAAAACTGGAGCGCCCCACAGTGATGTACTGGGTCTGATAAACTTTTTGTCTAATAACTCTTGCAACTAGACTTTCAATTCTTTCAATTCAACGGGTGTCATTCTGTACGGAGCTTTGGAAATTGGTTGTGTCCCCAGTATCACCTCAATAGTGAATTCAATCTCCCTGTTAATCAAATCCCCTGGCAAGTCATCTGGGAATTCTCTGACTATAGGAATACTGTCCACATTAGTTTTAGTATCGACAGACACACTCAACATACAGCATAAATACCCTTTACACCCTTTTTAATCAGTTTAAATGCTTTCATTGATGAAATCAAGTATGGGGGAGGCACAACACCAATTCCATTAAATACAAATTCAAGCAATCCAGGTGGACGAAAAACAACTTGTTTTGTTACACAATCAATGTACGCATGATATTTGGTCAACCAATCTATTCCCAAAATTACATCAAAGTGATTAAGATTTAGATGTAGCAAATCAACATATAAAAGCACATCCCTAATAACATTCTCACATGTAGGATACACATAAGCACAAGTCATAGACCCCCTAACAGGTGAAGATACAACTACTAAATAGTTCATGGGTTCCAGTGGTCTATTTAATTTTCTTGAAAAAGCATGTGAGACAAATGAGTGTGTAGACCCCGAATCAATCAGAATATAAGTATTTTGAGCACAAGTAGGGAGTATACCTGACACCACTGTCTAAGTGTTCTGCACATCTCCTGGTATAAGTGCAAACACCGGGCCTTGCCTCAGAGGTTCCTTTCCAGTAGCTTTAGGATTGGATTTTGGTGTAGCGGTTGATGCTGCAGTACTTGCTACAGGTCTAGTAAAATTTTGAGATGTGAGAGGACAATCTTTAACTATGTGGCCTACCTTGCCACACTTATAACATGCCTCGAAAATTTTATAACAAACCCCTTTGTGTCTTTTACCGCATTCTGGACAAGGTGGTATAGAATTGTTGCCTTTGCTGGAACTGCTTGTTGACCCTGTATTTTGTTTCTTAGTTATTGAGTTATTCTGGCCCTTTTTGAAATTAAAACTTTGTCTCTTACCCCGTCATTCAGTCACCGGAGTCTTAGCTTGTTTTAATGCTGTAACATTTGTCTCGGCTATGATAGTCCGATCTAGTACATCCACATATTTGAGTAACTTCAAAACATTAATTCGATCAAGTATTTCCATATTAATTCCACCCTCAAACTTCCTAGCATTCTTATAATCACTATCTACCATGTGTGGTGCATAGCGAGCGAGTTCGGTGAACTTAGCTTCATATTCTTCTACTGACATGGCACCCTGCTTTAGTTGCTCAAATTCGGTCACTTTTCGGTCACGAACACATTGAAGGAAGTATTTATCATAAATTTTTCCTTAAATTGAGCCCATATCACTGCATTATTATCTTCACGCACAAGCATCCACCATCGTCTTGCAAAGTAAAAGTAGCCAAAAATACTTTTTATGCCTCGGTGGGAACACTTCAAATAGTTTTTCAATTTTAAGGATCCATGCCTCAGCTTTTAGTGGTTCCAGTCCTCCCTGTAATGCTGGTGGCTTCATTTTATTAAACTTCTATGTTAAGGTAATCACATCATCATTGGCATTTAGTTCAGGCTGCACTGGTAGCGGAGGAGGAGGTGGGGGCTTATGGTTCTGTTGTTGTCTTAGAGTCTCAGGCCCCATTTGTTTGGGGTTATAGGGAGGGGATTGGGATTACCAATCCCTTGGTATTACTAATGAGGGTGTTTGTTTTGAGAGATGGGGAGGGGACTATTAGTCCTTTGGTATTAGTAGTCCCCTTAGAAGGGGGATTGGTAAGGAGGAGGTAGAGATGGTATTAGAAAAATAGTGAGGGGATTAGAAATTTTATTTTATTTATTTTATTTTTTTTATTTTTTATATATTGGGAATTTTTTTTAAATATAATGTTTAATTTTTTATATTTTTTTATTTGTTTTATTAGTTTATATGAAAATAATTTAACAATTCCTCACTATTAATCCCCTCACTATCAATCCCCTCCATTCTATCTCCCAAAACAAACGGGGCCTCAGTCAATAATTCAACCATCCTTTGCAATCTTGCAATTCTTGTTTTGAATGATTCAAGTTCATCTGTATTCCTTGGATTCTCCATTTCACAATATAAAACATGGTAGTAATAAACATAGGAAAGATTGTCTCATATTCATGTTTGTTAATTCATATGCACATATCATACCCATATACACTTATTTATGTTCATGCAATGCCCAATTACTTTTCTAAGACACCCTATAGCTCATTTGGACACGTGTGTGCGGTATAACTGTGCTCTAATACCACTCTATCACGATCCAAACCCGCCCCTATAGGTTTAGCGCCGCAACCGGCCAATAATCCGTAATTACCGAAGGCCCGCTTAATGATAATGACAAAAACACAATATAAAGGGGACTGGTGGAAGCCAATTAATAATAAGATAATGTCCAACGAACTGTGAGGACCTGAATGAAAAAAAAAAAACTTTTTTTATATATATATAGCCATAATTATAACCATTTATGCCATAGTCATACATGTACAAGACAATATGCAAGTTAGGGAATTAATCCCATCATAAAAAACTGTATAAACAAAAGTCTTAAACATTCTTTACACTTAGCAAAAACAAAAGGGTGAATTTGGATCACCCAAAAAGCCTTGACTCGTGCAGGTTTGGAACTTCGTTATGAGGCACAATAACTGGCTTGAGAAAACATGAGCTCGGGTTAACGCCTCTAGCTTTGATCCGGTACCTGGCCACCTACATATATATATTAAACTGTGAACTAAAGCCTAGTGAATTAAGAATGATGTCTTTTTGCCTTTGAAACATAAGATTTCAATAGAATTTTTCAATCAATATCATTTAGCGATCAACCGTTCGATTTAATCAATTCAATCAATCAATAATTAAATAAGTCATACGTGGTACATCCAATAGCAAAAATACACTAGGTCTAAAGGACTAAACAATCAATTGATGGCCATCATACAATAACAATAGTTCGAAGATTTGGAACTGACAGAGATCTCTATAACAATAGCAATATCGATAACAATAACAATGACAATAACAATAACAATACCCTATGGATGCCACGAGTACACTTCAAAAGAGGATCATCATTCAATCAATAGAAAGTAAACATTTAGAAACAATATAAGGTATTGTTTAGAAAATAAACACAATTGAACATATCCTTACAACATTATTACTCACAGTGGGCTCCGTGAAACACGTGCTAATATGCACTATAGACGCAGCGTCCGACCTAAACAAACAAATTCAAGCACAATAACTCAATTACATTCATGTCGGATTCAAACACTTCTATTTCTATTCAATCCATTGATCATTCAGTCAATTTTTTGTTCGTTGTCCACTTATTCGATTCTAACTTTTATTCGATCACTCATGAGATACAATGCACATGAAATACACTTTAAAACCTTGTAAACGGAGGCCGAAAAAATAGAAAAGATGAGCGAAAAGCAAACCGAGGCTGTCCAAAAGGGCCGCACGTACGGGACCAGTGCCGCACGTGCCCCCCGTACCTGCCTTTATTTCAGCGTGTAACAAAAAGCTGCCCTGTTTTCCGCACGTACGGGCCCCAAGCCGCATGTGTGGTGCTGGGTTTGTTTGAGGCCGAAATCTGCCCCGTTTTGGCAGTGCAATACTTGTACAAAACCAACACCATTTACATACAATACACACCCAAAACCTCATGTAATCATGCTTAGAATTTGAGCCTTAAACATTGATTACAAACCATGGATTTGAAAGAAACTCAATTGTCCATTTAAATAATTCAAAGTTTTGAAAAGATATGAAATCTTGAACTTCAAAGGGTTCATGCAAAAATGACATATAGGAGCAACAATAAAATCGTGCAAGTCCACAATTTAAATTAAGTTTTCCACATGGTTGTTCAAAGCTTCCAAGAAGTGACAAGAGTATGAGTCATGTGTTTCAATAATTCTAATTCTAAACTTTGTGAGGAAAACTCTTTACAACTTGTATACTCCATGAAGATCATGCAAAAGGATATGCATATAAACCAAAATATCTTAAATTCATGCCATGCATAGAGAAACTAAGGTC